TATATATATATATATATATATATATATATATTTATGTATGTATGCTGATTTGGTCTTTCTTTTAACTTGTTTTAGGGATCGAGTACCTTCATACGGGTTGTGTTCCTTCCATTATCCACAGAGATCTGAAAACAAGCAACATCCTTCTTGATAAAAACATGAGAGCTAAGGTTTCGGATTTTGGCCTCTCGAAGCTTGCCGTTGATGGGACTTCACACGTATCCAGCATCGTTCGTGGCACTCTTGGCTATCTCGATCCCGAGTAAGTTTTCTCTTCAAAGTGAAACGTTGCGGTTTTTAAAATAACTCAAACTTCAAAACGAATTGCCATTGGCAATGGTGAAGTTAAATGCAGTGGCCGGACAGTTGGACCCCGAAGGTGGGGTCCAGCCACACTGGCCACTAAACAGAACACTTAGCCCCATGAAGCTTATGGAACCCTTAAACTTCATATTACTTGTTTGTTTTAGGTACTATATTTCAAACCGTTTGACGGACAAAAGTGACATCTATAGTTTCGGGGTCATTCTTCTTGAGCTAATATCCGGCCAAGAAGCGATTTCCAATGAAAACTTTGGTATCAATTGCCGAAACATCGTTCAATGGGTACGTTCATTTAGAGTTGGGTTATTTACGAGGATAACCTTCTGACGTATTTTCTTTTAAATGCATGACCTTCTGATAGATTTAAGAACACCTTTGCCTAATTGAATAATGCCTCAAAATTTGTCACACTGCATTTAAAGAGAAGTTATGTTAGAAGGTTATTCTCGTAAATAACTGTGTAGGGTTTGGACCCGAACGTATGATCCTAGCTATTAACATATATGATGATGGTTAAATGACAGGCGAAGTTGCATATAGAGAACGGGGACATTCAAGGGATCATCGATCCGGCACTTGGTAACGAATACGACATCCAATCAATGTGGAAGATAGCCGAAAAGGCGTTAATGTGTGTACAACCACACGGGAACATGAGACCTTCGATGTCCGAAGTTATCAAGGAAATCCAAGATGCGATCTCGGTAGAGAGAGGGGCCGAGGCGGGTGCACGAGAACGCAGCTCCGATGAAATATCGAGGCACTCGATCTTGAACATGGGGTCGCTTGATAAGTGTGGCAACAACGATCAAGATTTTTCTATCGATGAGTCCATCACTCGACCTGGTCCTCGATAATGTTGGTTCGGTTCGACTGTTGTCTTAATTGCAAGTCAATCTGATGTATTAGTGATGTATTAGTGCTGGTATGATTGCAACCTTGATTGGTCTCTTTATGGTGCGTAAAGTAGAGGTTTTAGGAAGAAGTTAGAATGGTGGTGTGTTGTTTTGGTCAGTTTGTAAGTTTTTTGTAGTTGTAGGGGGTTGGGTGTAAATTTGGAATTCTTTTGGACCGATATTGAAACTAGGGATGGTTGCGATAGGTTTCTATAGTTTACGTAAACTTAAAAAAAGTAAATGTTTTTATTAGTATTTTAATTTTAATTTATTAATTAACAATTATATGGCGGTGTTGATATAAAGCTTCTTTTTGTTGTTTTTAATAAGATTAAATTAAATTATATTAAATAATTAATAAGATAAATACTAAAAATTGAAATCAAACTGCTACCTTGAAAATTTATTCTATATTAAATATATTAGAAGAGTACTCGTGCAATGTAGCGAGACATATTTCGATTTTAATGTTTTATTTTATTTGTTGTTGATGTTATTATACGATTTTATGTGTTTTTAAAAAAACAATAATGATTTTATTTTTGAATAAAATATAAATTTGAAGATATAAAAAATTTTGAAAAAAAATATCAATGTTAATATCAAATCAACTATTTAAAAGTTCTCATTTTTTATGTAATTTTTTTTATTATAACTTAGTTTAAGTTTAATAATGAAATAATTTATTTTTGGTTTAATAATATAACATTTTATAAAGATAATAATTAGGTATTCTGTTAAAAGTCAATGATTATCCTAATTATATTTTAGATTTTTTATATTTAAAATAAGATGTTTATCATGTACTTGATTATGTTTATCTGCAGTTAGTTACACGAATTCAGATATGAAACTTTAATAAGTTGTACTTACGCACAATCTACTTGTAATATTAAGTTTTAAGTAACATGCATTAATAAACAGTACTTTATACATAAAAAGTGGTTTTTAAGAGTTTTTGTCAAATGCTTTATAACATAGTATAGATACAATAAACCTATTATTTATACTAGAAGAGTATTCATATAATACAACGAGATACATCTTGATTTTAGTGATTATTTTATTCTAGTCGATGTTATAGTGCGGTTTTATGTGGTTTTGAGAAAACGATAATGTTCTTATTTTTTAATATCATAAAAAATTAAAATATCAAACTAACTATTTAAAATTTATCGTTTTGTTATGTATTTCTTTAACTCATTTTTTTGTTTTTGATTTAATAATATAATTTTTTATAAAGATAATAACTAAGTATTTTATTAGAACTCAATAATTATCCTACTTATATTTTAGATTTTTTAAAATAAGATATTTATCTGCAGTTAATTATACGAATTCAAACATGAAGCTTTAACAAAAAGGATTTACCCCATTTTTTATATGTAATTTTTTTTTAAAATAAACAAATATTTTACTTTCTTTAGTTTGATATGAACATTTACCCCATGAAATAAAACATACTTAAAATCGCAGATTCAATAAAACTTCAAAATCTATATTTTTCAGATCTTCAGAATCTACGGTATTCAAATTTTAAGCTTAGCCGTAGATTAAAAATAATAACTAAATCATGTATTCTAATATCTCCAAAAGATCAAGTGGAATAATAGATAGATAATAATCATAAATAGATCAAAATGAAAAAAAGACAATAAAACCCTTTAATATTAATTAAAAAAAAAAACAGTTGATGGATTCTGATCGGTAGAATTATGTTCGGAAAGTTTGTATGAAGTGTAAAGTTTGCTTTTGTATATATATATATATATATATATATATATATCACGTGATTTTGTACCTATTTTGGTTATTCTCGCATTTCCTTAAATATATATCATTCTCGCAGATGGTACGTGATGGTGTAATTTTCTAAATGTACGTATTAATGGAGACTCAAGAATCATATCAAATCTAAGAAATAAAATGACATCGGGTTGGGTTGTGTTCAAATAAAAATAACTCAATGATCAACCAAATATCTATAATTTAAAGGTTTTACAACTCGAATAGACATCGATTACTTTAGGTTGAATTATTTTACATTGGATTAGATTGGATTGATCGAGTTTTTAATACCTTTACATAAAAAACGATAAATTTTAAATAGTTAGTTGGATATTTTAGTATAAATTCTAAAAGAATCTTAATTTCAAAATCAAAATGTACGAGCCTACAAATAAACTTTTAGTTATTAGAAGAGTATTTGTATAATGTAGCGATATAAATCTCGATTTTAATGTTTCGTTTTTCTTTTGTCTCAGTTGATGTTATAATACGGTTTTTTGTAGTTTTAAGAAAACAATAATGCTTTTATTTTTAAATAAAATGTAAATATGAAGATATCACAAAAAATTAAAAAAAAAAATTGATATTAGTACGAAACTAAATATTTAAAATTTCTCGTAATTTTTTATAAAGATAACGATTATGTTAAGACTCAATGATTATTTTAATTATATTTTAAATTTTTTATATTTAAAACGAGATGTTTATTCTCTATTTGATCATGCTTATCTGCAATTAGTTACACGAATTCAAACATAAAGCTTTAATAAGTTATATTTACACACAATTTACTTGTAATCTTGAATTTTAAGTAATATACATCAATAAACAATCCTTCATATATTAAAATTAGTTTTTATCAAATATATAGTATAGATAATTTATACCATAAATACATTGAAGATATCAATATAAACTAGGGATAAATATGAAAAGGATTATTTTTAAATAAAAATTTATTAAGTGTTTTTATTTATCTACATATATAATTAGAATCCATCTGAAACATAAATACTCGAATATCATCATAATCATAATCATCAACATCATTCTCTTCCTCCTTTTTCTGAACTGTAAATTAGGGTAAAACCCTCTCTAAATTTCAACTATAAATCAGGGATTTCAATCTCCCCGAAGATCAATTGCTGCAACTCTTATCATTCATTAACAAACCACTACCAATTAACAAACATGAAGGTAATCAAACGCTATGATTTGATTTGATTTTTCTACACTTATCATGATTGATGATGTTCGTGTTACCAAGTTCCTTCATCGAAATTTTCAAAGCTGATATTTCTTCAAGTCTACGAATCACAATCATATTCGTGTATTGCTTTATGTATGCTGTGTCGGTTTAAGCATGACACGGATGATGATTTTTTTTAATTAGATAGGGGTTAGTTTTGTGATTATGATTCTTGTTTTTACTGATTCAATTTATCTCCTCCTCGTATTTGAGTTCTATTTCGTGGTTTGTATTATGCTGATTGATTATTTTTTGTTGATCATTGTAGTGATAGATTTTGATATTTTCTTACTCCATCTTGTTGTATAAGCAGTTTCTGGTACGCAACTGTGATTTGTTCTAGTTTTAGTGTGGTAAATTTTTATTCATGGTCAACAATCAGGAGATTTTAAGAAAATTTTGTTTCGTCAACTGTTGTCTATGATGATTTGGTTTCCGTAACGTGGTAAGAGTGACTATATGTGTATGTGGAAAATTGGTTATTGGTTATCGGCTGTGGTGTTATCATGATTTCGTTTGATAACTTATTAATGGTAATTAGGTTTTATGATTAATTTTGTAGAGTATGGGGAACCGGGGGCATAAAAGAACAGAAACAGTTGATGAATTGCCAGCCGATAAGAGGACTTGTAGTTCATTGGAGTTCAGACCCAGTTCATCAACGTCACCAGTTCAAACACCAACTACATCCGTAAACCAAACCCATGACCATGATATGGAAACATCTTCATCTGCTTCTGGCTCAGGCAGGACAGATGAAGATAAGGATTCAGCATATGGGTCTTGTGATTCTGATGAGATGGGTGATGCAGAGCATATACGAAACAGGCATGCAATACTCGATTACCAAAGGCAGCGGTTATCTGGTGATCAAGTGAAATTCAAGAGGGTATTATCAAATCTGAATGAAGAAATTGAGGAATCTGCTCAACAGGCTGCTCTCATGGAGCTTTGTGAAATATTATCTTTCTGTACAGACAGTTCTTTATCGAGTTTAATGGCGGATTCCTTGTCTCCTATTCTTATAAAGTTGGCTCGCCATGAAAGCAATCCCGAGATAATGCTTTTATCAATCAGGGCTCTAACTTATCTATGTGACATTTATCCTCGATCCGCAGGTTTTATTGTTCGACATGATGGAGTTACAGCACTCTGTCAGAGATTGCTGGCCATCGAGTACGTGGATGTTGCTGAACAGGTATTTCAAAAAATTCTCTTTACAAGGTCACTGATTGCATTTTTTGCTGATTTGATCAATTATGACACACATATTTCTCTGTTTTTGATGTAGTGTTTGCAAGCATTAGAGAAAATTTCACGCGAACAACCACTTGCTTGTTTAATGTCTGGTGCAATTATGGCTGTTCTTACATATATTGATTTCTTCTCAACTAGTCTCCAGGTAAGACTGTGGGGTTAAAATAACTGTGTCTTTGAAATCTTAGTTATTTAGTTAACCATTTGAAACAATTACTTTGCTCGTGGAAACATTATCTTTATTAATTTTGTTTTCCTTTCTTCTTCCTAAAATCAAATAAGCGGGTTGCTCTTTCCACTGTGGTGAACATATGTGAGAAGCTCCCATCTGAAGGCTCTTCACCTTTTATGGATGCAGTTCCAATATTGTGCAAACTTCTGCAGTACGAGGATAATCAGGTATAATTATAGTGTTTGTGTTCAGCACTTCTGCTAATGACTTCATTGACATATTTCTGTGCTTCCAGCTTGTTGAACATGTCGCTACTTGCCTAATTAAAATAGCAGCACGAGTACATCAATCCCCTGATATGCTGGATGAACTTTCTAAACATGGGTTGATTCATCAGGTTGCACATCTCATAGACCTGAACAGCCGGACAACTCTATGTCATTCTGTTCATACTGTATGTAGATCTTGTTCTTTTCTTATAACGTTTCTATCTCTCTTTTTCCTGAAATCCATTTCTAACTGCATCTTGGGCTGTATTGAACTCTGGCACACTTGTATGCAGGGTCTGATTGGGCTACTTGTTAAGCTTGCTTCTGGTTCTATGGTAGCTGTCAGGACACTTTTTGATCTTAATATAAGCAGCATTTTGAAGGATATATTGGCAACATATGGCCTTTCACATGGAATGTCTTCCCCTCGGACAGTTGATGGACATTGCAATCAGGTCAAGTAACATTCACTTAATTAGCTACCATTGACCCATTTACACTTGCCTCCTGCACACAACTTAGGATGGACTGAATATAATCAAATATTGTTCCTTCTATCCTTAACTAACCCCAGCCTGCATGTCCATGCACGTCTGCAGATGGTGGTCTTTTGTGGTAGTGATGCCTTATTTAAATATTGTAGATCATGCTAGGAAGGATATTATACCTAACCAAGTAATATTTAGTATTGTTGCTCTCATGACGAAAGATCGATGCACTTGACAGCTCGTAGACTTGAGACCATGAGTTGACTCTTGATCTTTTAGTAAAATACCTGTGCAAGTGATTGCAAATGTGAATAGAAGGAATCACTTTTGCAACTCTTATAGGTTGTTTAATATCAAATTTCAGTGACTCTTCCCCTTCACACACATGTTCAAAATGATGCACTTTTATATAGCTTAAAGGACCATGTTATGCTGGCAAGCTCCCTCATGATGCCTTACCCTTTTTGATGGGGAGTCTATTTATTGGGGCTTTTAAATACCACTTCAGCAAAGCTGTTAATATAAGCTATTTTGACAAATGACATATGTGAACTTCTACTCAGGTGCATGAAGTTCTGAAGTTGTTGATTCAGCTTCTGCCTGTTGTAGGCAGAAATCAAGAAGTTCAATTGGCCACAGAAAAAGCAGCTTTTTTGGTGAATCATCCTGATCTTGTGCAGAAGTTTGGGAATGATTTGTTACCTGTCTTGATCCAGGTTTGTTGTCAATCATGTTAGTGCTTTCTTGCTAACTTTGGCGTGACGTCCTTTTCATTTTCCCCTTTTCTCATCCCTGAACAGGTGGTTAATTCTGGTGTGGATTTATATGTTTGTTACGGATGTCTATCCGTTATCGACAAATTAGTTTATTACAGCAACTCTGATATGCTTCTCAGTTTACTGGAGAGCACCAACATTTCAAGGTGAAAGAATCTTGTAACTCAACTATGGCATTTAACTTCTAGGTTTATTGTTTCATGTGAGGCCGATAATCTCATGTTGGACATCTGGCAGGTTTTTGGCTGGAGTGTTCACTAGGAAGGACAGACATGTACTAATGCTAGCCCTTAATATTTCTGATACCATTCTGCAAAAGAATAGTGATGTTTTTGTGGGACCCTTTGTAAAGGAAGGGGTCCTTTTTGCCATTGATGCACTTACCGTCCAAGAAAAGGGTTCACAGTTTATGTTTTCAATGTTCAACGAAATTCATTTATCGAATAGTTCAAGTCAAAAAGTTGCTGCAAAAGATGCCATACGATGCTTATGCTATTCGTTTGATGCCAATCAGTCTTCATCAACTTCAGARTCATGGAATTGTAAGTTGGAGAAGGATTGTGTTAAGACTCTTGCGAAACACATAAGAACAAATTACTTCAACACAAATTCGTCCACCTCAGAGAATGGAATGACTGCTGTTCTTGAAGAGCTGAAATCTTTATCTGCTGAATTAACTTCTATGTTAGGGGCTGATAGTATGCTTGAAGAAGAGTATGATAGTGTATTGCATAGGATCATGTCACATCTTAGTGGAGAAGATGTGATTTCTACCTTTGAATTTGTTGAGAGTGGCATTGCTGAGTCATTATTTAAATACCTATCTAGTGGCGAATGTTTGAGAAAAGAGTCTGACAGTCATGGCACAAAAACTCAATCCTGCATTGCAGAGAGAAGACTGGAGGCGTTTTGGAGGCTTTTTTTGTCATCCACAGATCAGCCATTCAATAACTTCTCACTATCGGCATTTATTTCAAAATTACAAAGTGCTTTATCTTCTGTTGAAGATTTTCCTGTTATGTTGAACAATGTACCCAAGCACAGAAATTCATATACTACTGTTCCACATAGGCGTTGCACCACATACCCATGTCTGAAACTTCTGATTGTGAAGGGAGAGGGAGAGACGACTTTGAGTGACTACTCTGGAGATGTTCAGAATGTTGATCCATTTTCGGATTTTGATGCAATTGAGAGGTTCTTATGGCCTAAAGTTTGCTCCAACAATGATAAAGATATAAATTTGGTCATGAAAGTGTGTGATGAAAATGGCTCTAGTGCCCAATCATCGTCTGATACAAGTCGATACAATGTTGGACAGACTTCTGTTGAATCAACAAGCAGGATTGAAATTCAAGCTGTAAGTCCATCCTTTTGTGTTTGGTTTACTACTTGCACCAAATTTGTTATGTTTTGTAAATTCTTCTATAGATTACTAGATTTCTTCAATTAACTATCATTAGTAGAGTCCCGGTTCTGGAAGTTGACAAGTTTATGTTAGTTACTCTTTTTTTGTCATAAAGATAGTATACTTATATTGAGTTGGTGTTCTTGTTTCAGGACTCTGCAGAACATGACCAACATGCTACACAAAAAGATGGTATCATCAGCACAGAGCGTCCTCAATCCAGTGGAAATGATAGTCTTTCACCGCAACTATCGTTTTACCATGAAGGAAAGCAGATGGATCGGTCTTTGACTATATATCAGGCTATTCTTCAACAACAAAAAGCAGAATATGACAGTCTCACCCATGCATCATTGTGGAATCAAGTACACAGAGTAACATACAAAAGATCATCAAATTTTGGGAACAGTAGTTCCCCATATTTTGGCTGTCGCCCGTGTTGGTCATCTGCCTTGGACAAGCCTACATCATATGGGCAGTTCTCTCCGCTTCTTTCGCACATGCTTGTTCGTGAAATTGGTTCTGCTGTGGAAAAATCTACTCCGTGTCATGATATTTTGTTTTTGCTGAAAACTTTGGAATCTGTGAACATGTTCAGATTCCATCTTCTGTCTCGCCAAAGAATTTGTGCTTTTGCTGAAGGCAGAATCAGTGACTTGGATGGTGTAAAAGCAACAGTTTCGGGTATTCCAATGAATGAGTTTGTAAATAATAGGTTAACAGAAAAACTAGAGCAGCAGATGCGAGATCCTTTGGCCATCTCTACGGGTGGCATGCCGTCTTGGTGTACGCAATTAATGGCATCATGCCCTTTCTTGTTTAGCTTTGAGGCAAGATGCAAGTACTTCAAATTGGTGAGTAAGCATCAAGGTCAACGTCGGGTTTCATCTCAAAGTAATTTGGGAAGCCCAAGTGGGCTCCAAAATGATGCCCCTATGCCCCGGAGAAAATTTCTGGTTTATAGACATCAGATTCTGGAATCAGCTGCCAAAATGATGGACCTGCATGCCAATCAAAAAGTTGTTCTTGAAGTGGAATATGATGAGGAAGTTGGTACTGGTCTCGGTCCCACAATGGAGTTCTTTACACTAGTCAGTAACGAGTTTCAAAAGCCTGGCCTGGGGATGTGGCGAGGAGACAATTCGTCGCTTGCTTCAATGCAAAGCTTAGGAAACCAGGATTCTGTGATTGTTGCATCTCCATTTGGACTTTTCCCGAGCCCATGGTGTCCTTCCATCAGTGTTGCAAGTGGTATAGAGTTTTCAGAGGTGATCAGAAAATTTTTCCTTTTGGGCCAGGTGGTGGCGAAGGCTCTACACGATGGAAGGGTTTTGGATCTTCCCTTCTCCAAAGCTTTCTATAAACTATTCTTTGGACAGGTTTGCTTTCTTTTGGATATAATGCCAGTGTTGATTTCATGCACCTTCCTTTCTTAAACTCATGGAATTGGTCATCTTGCAGGAACTCACAGTGTATGACATCCAGTCATTTGACCCTGATTTAGGGAAGACACTTATCGAGTTTCAGGCTCTTGTTCAAAGGCGAAAATATTTAGAATCAGTTAGAGAAAATTCAACAGCTGAACTTGATTCTTGCTTCCGGGGTACAAAAATTGAGGATCTACACCTGGATTTTACTCTTCCTGGCTATCCTGATTACATCCTTGCTTCTGGGCCTAATAAAGAAATGGTTAGGCACCTTTTTGTTATTTCCATCTTTGTTGCTCGTTATCTATTAAGCTAAATGATCAATATTTTGTTTAATATAAATACCATTTGCCAGGTAAATGCAACTAATTTGGAGGAATATATTGATCTGGTAGTCGATGCTACAATAAATTCTGGAATTTCGAGACAAATGGATGCTTTTAAATCGGGGTTTGATCAGGTTTGTTCTGTTCCTATGATTTGATGCTTATATTGCATTGTATTTACCGCAAAAGGTAGCTTGCAAACATGGAACTCGAGAGAGTTGATATGTTTTGCATTTGATATTTCTTGCAATCATGCCGAGAGTGTATGAACACACCGTGTTGCAAAGAGCATTGATCCATTAGTTCAGGTGCTTGTGGTGTGCAAATGAAAATTAAGATACAATAATGGGTCATTCCTAAAAGGAATTTGTTGTAGTTTTGATTAGATGTTCTATTTACTAGAAAAATTGTGATATTTGATTGCTTCAATTGTAAAAATTGTGATAGCTTTACTTCTCTATTCATATGAAATTTCCTCATTCATCTGGGAGTATGCTATGCTGACATATTGGTGCTTATTTAGGTCTTCCAAATGAAGCATCTTCAGATATTCACTGATGAAGAGCTAGAGCGTCTTCTATGTGGAGAAAGTGAAACTTGGAATGTATGTTTTAATCAACTTAATTGGTCAATCTAAAATTATGATCTGCAGATTCTAACAACGGAGATGTGGTCATGGTTGTTCTTTTGCAGTCGAACCAACTTTCAGATCTCATCAAGTTTGATCATGGATATACTGCTAGCAGTCCTCCCATTATACATGTTAGTGTTACTTCGTCACTTTTATGTTTCCTTGAGTCTGTTTTGGTGTTTATTTCTTGTTTCAGTGTCGTAGAAACCCAATGATCATTTTAACAAAATGCAGCTTCTGGAGATCTTACAAGAAGTTGACTACGAGCAGCAAAGAGCTTTCTTGAAGTTTGTGACTGGTGCACCACGGCTTCCTCTTGGTGGTTTATCATCGCTCAACCCAAAACTCACAATCGTACGCAAGGTCCGTATAATAGTTTTCTTTCTTCAGAATTTCGTCATTCTCACAAAAGTTCTTTTCTTTCTTGGGAACGAGAATGTTTTTGAGTCTTGCTTCTCATATGGGTGTTTGCTCTTCTGTTTCTCTACAGCATTGTGATAAACTGGTGGATGCCGACCTCCCCAGTGTGATGACGTGTGCTAATTACCTGAAATTGCCTCCATACTCTACCAAGGTTAAATACCCATCCTTGCTTTGCTAATTTTGTTAAGAGATCTTTATTTATGGAGATTATCTTTTCTACATTTTGCTGTAAACAAAATTTAAAAAGCTACCCAAACTCTCGATGAATATGAATAATTGGGGTAGTAAAGCATGAGCCATTCATCTGTACATTATGCACATATCCATACAAGTAATTGAAGATGGTTTTTGGTCTCTATGCACATGTGCATGTTATGTACATGTACTGAAAAAATTTACTTAGAAATTACTTGTTACTAGGGTGTTTCTCAGTTTTTCACTTTTTTGCGTTTTTCCCTTGAACTTGACCCAGTGTCCTATAATCACCATAGATAAACCAAACTGAACAAACCCAATATATCGTACTCGAAAGTAGCATCTGGGCTTCGGGGGTGGGACGTATATAGACTTGACCTCTACCTTGAAGGGTTGAGCGGCAAATTAACTGAAACAATGGATGAGGTACTGATGGATGGTATATAATCATGGCACTGAGAATGTCCAGAAAATGGACTCTTATTAACCGTAACAATTTTAACAAGTTTTAAGTTGTGGGTTTTTGCAGGAAACAATGAAGGAGAAGCTTTTTTACGCGATAACAGAAGGACAAGGGGCGTTCCATCTCTCTTAGCTTGTGGTTCTTGCTGAAACAGGGGTATATAAGCTGTGAATATGTAATTATCAGGTTAGGCAGTGGTGGTACAGAGGATATGACACAGGCGGTGGTGGTGAGTGGTGACTGGTGGCGGCTGGTGGTGGTTCATGACAGTTGATTGTGTCGATGCCTGCTAGTTCTAAGACATAGGTGGTAGATGGTCCAATGCTTTGGAGGAAAAACTGTACAGAAAGAAGATGCATGGTTTCAAGTTTGACAAGCATCCCCTCTCTCCAATAGCTTCACTTTGTACAGTCGTTTTTATCGTTATTCCTTTATACGTTATGCTTGGTTTTTAATGACGGTTTCTAGCAAGTATTTTAACTTTCGAGACCATTTCATGCTTTTTACTTTGTTTGATTGCTTGCGTGATTGCGTTCGTGTCTTGTATATATATATGTTGCCAGTTAGTATGGTTGACGTTATCGTCGTTTAACCTTAGATATGAGAGGCCACTCGGGATTTTTCTTACCGTCATCTTCAGAGTTCCATAGAGTTGGTCGAGATGTGTGAAACTTAGTGATTTGTTTGTCAAATTGATAATGGGATGTATTTGGATTGTGGGATTCAAGGTCTTGACATTAATGATTCGAGCATATATCAAGTTAATCGAGCTTGAGCCTAGTAATTCTTGATGTCGAGTTGATATCCGACACAAAATAAAGATCGTTTAACCTACGAGTCGAGCTTTATAACACCAATATTTGACTTGGTCTATCCGGAAGCTCGTTTAAAAAATTTGAGCCAAGCAAAATGATTAGAATTTTTAGTTAATCAAATAGTATTTTTCTGAATAATTTAGTGATGAGTAAACTACAAATTTGGTCTTTGGGGTTTGTCAAAAATAACACTTCTCATCCTTATAGTTTTAAAAATAATAAGATGGCTATCGTAAATTACAAAAATATTCCGATTTGGTCCTTTTCTTTAACAACCGTCAGAAAATTCCATTAAGAAAGGGGCAATTTCATCATTTTATACACTTTTTGTTTTTTACCCAATTAAAGACTACAACGATAATCATACAAAATTGAGCATAGGAAGTCAGGTTAAGAAGTGGATTTATAATTGGTCTCGGGATGGGAAAGCACAGTATAGAGTTGTCTTTGATTAGGTAAAAGACAAAAAATATCAATAAAAGAATGAAAATATTTTTCATCTAACGAAACTTTTAGCAGTCATTAGAGTGGAACCAAATTCGTACTTTTTCTGCAAACCTTCTTGTAATTTTAAACTTACATGGACAAAAAGTGTTATTTTACACAAACTATGGGGACCAAATTTGTAGTTATCTATTTTATCACCTCTTAAATATGTCTGTGTACTAATCAAATGCAGATTTGAAAATTTAGTTATTTATTTTAAAGCTAAACACTTATTTTAACAAGTGCTTATCATCAATCCATTTTTAAGGCAAAAAATATCACCCCATAAGTTAAGTAGAGTAGTGATTTTTACCAATAAATGTTCACCCAGTAAACTTTTAGTAAACAGTCCCCTATTTTTGAGATATTTATTTAAACATAAATAAAAATAAGTACACTTATTTTAGAGGGTGTTTGGAATTACTTATAAAAAACAATTTAGGTACCAGTAATAAATACCTTTGAGTATTTGGATAAACAGCTTATACCGGTGTCAAACCGATAATAAAAAGTTTTTGAAGAAGCTAACTATTCTAACTTATAATAAATTGATAAGGATTTTTGTAAAAAAAACATAAGTTGTTTCAAATCCCTGACACCAAGTGTAAGAGTACAACATAAAATCATTAAAAATGTAAAAACACCATAACATCTGTTGCATATCACATACTTGCAAGCAATACCAAAATTACACAAAACAATCAGTTGGCTTACCTAAAATATATGTTTCCTCAAATAACTTCACTATTCTCCTTAAGCTGACTTTCCATAAATGGAAAGTTGACAGTTTTTTCAGTTACCTCCATACCAGTCTCATTGCCATCACAATTCTTATCAGCAAATGGAGTCCTTGATCCATCTGTTATCACTTTATCATCCTTAACAGCACCAACAAAACATCCGTTAGATCGAACGCCCGACTCACTTTTCACAATCTCCACAGTGTCGATTTTGCTCGATGTTCCGTTTCCCGAATGGGATTCTTCGTTCATATCAATTTTCTTGCAAATATTCAAACTTGACTCGTTTACATTACCTTCATCAGAAACAATCTTGATTTCGCCCTGATGGTCCGAAACATCAAAAGTGGTCTCCACGGTGTCGATTTTGCTCGATGTTTCGTTTCCCAAATGGGATATTTTGTTTGAGCCGTTATTCTTGCATATGTTCAAACTTGACTTGCTTTCGTTACCTTCACCAGAAACAATCTTGATTTCGCCCTTACAATCTGAAACATCAGAAGTTATTATGAGACCACTTTTGATGTTTCTCAAGGCACTGGAGGTTTTCGGTTTGGTGATTGGTTGTTCTTGAGAGGGTTTAGGAGTGGTTTTCTGGGGATTTGGTTTTAGGTTTGTATGAGCTGCTGCAGATGTTTTTGGTGGTAGAAGCTTTCCATATTTTACACCATTTGAGTTGGTTGGACTACAATTTGTGGCTCCGGTTTTAGACACACCGGTTGGCAACCTACATTGAGATCGTATAGTGCCATTTGGGGTTCGAACACCCGATTTTCCCTGCATAACGAAGATCGTCTCATTTAAAACCGTGCATGAGATTGTTCATGTCTCTCTAAATTGATAAAAAGATGGAACACACTAAAAAATTTGGTTTTATAGGACATCAAATATGTCTGAATGGGTGGCTTTATAGGACTCGTACCAAAAAAATTGTGCATAAATGTGTTGCAATAAGTTGATAGGACGATTTTGGAAATTGTTTAGGATAATTTTGAGATAAATCATCAAATTAGTCCTTTTATACATTATTTGAGGAAGTGTCCTACAAGAAGATGTCACTACAACAAAATTGATTTTACAGGACGCCTAAAATTAAGAAGCATTCTAAAAAATAATTTATAGGACTAAACCAAAAAAATGTCCTATCTAAAAGTGTTATAGGTTTATAGGACGCTTCTAGGCGTTTTACCTAGTTTTTTAGAATGCTTTTAAAATAAAGTGTCATATTAACTATTTTATACGACACTACTTGAAAAAGTATCCCATGAAAATTGGGTTTAAGGGAAACTTCTCAAAAGTGTCCTAATCGGACACGTTATTCTAAAAGTTCCTAATAAACTTGTTAAAACACCTAAAAGCATACTATAAATCTATTGTAACAGCGTTATAACGTTTTTAGATAGGACGCTTTATAGTTTGGCCCTATAAACCTAAGTTTTATATAGTGGTGCTTAGACAATCTAGGCGTCTTACAAAACCAATTTTGTTGTAGCATTGTGTTATAGGATGCTTATCAAAAGTGTCACATAAAAAAAGCTTACTACAAGAATGTTCTCAAAAAACCTTGCTAGGATGCTTAAATACGTACTAACATCCTATTATAACATCTTTATATAAGAAGCATAATTGTTTGGTCCTACAAATGGTAAGTCCAAAATAGTATAGAACAATCTCTTAGGTGAACGTGTCCTATGAACTTAGTCACATTTAAGCATCTTTGGCGTACTATAAAACTGATTTCGTTATAGTGACAAGTTCTTAGGTGAATACGATTTTTGATGGCCATATTCAGCAAATCTTTAAAAGACAAGAAAAGAATATTAGAAAACTAACCCCATCGAAGAACCCGATCTTAGGTGAAGGCATTCTAAGTCCAGTTGGTTGAACAGAAGGAGGTCTAGAAAGTGAACCAGATTGTGATGGAGGCACCGATCCTGGCTGAGTTCCATTATGATTTGAATTACGACCGGTGGGATGAATACTCAAAGCTGATACATCAAAGGCATCACCATCCAAAGATCTGTTAGAATCACCAGCATCTATCCTGGCCCTTGATACAGACTTCCGATTCGTAGTGGAGGTTGATGATGATGATTCTGAAGACCATTCACTTATGGAACTAGCAGGCGAAATACTTGAAGAAAGGTTAGATAACAACGAATGAGATGAAAGACGAGAAGGTGGTGCTTTACTCTTTATACTAATCCTTGAAGGTGTTTTCAGGACTGATACAGCTGCTGCAGGTTTGCCAGTTTTGGAATCAGTCTTTCTTCGTGAAAAAGTTGTTGAAGACTTTACATCATTTCCTGAAAAACTACCAGAACTGCCGCATGATGAAGATTGTCTTGAGGGCTCTTTCTTGACTGCAGCTGAAGAACTTAAGGAAGATGATGTGGAATTTGATGAAGGTTTTGGCACGCCCCTTCGAGGACCAATTAGTCCAGTTATCTTTGATCCTTGTGCTGTTCTTGTCTTTGCTGGTTGAGTCCCTTTCTGGATAACTGTTGCATCCAGGTGAAAGCAAATGAAAATCAGATTAGAAAGGAACTGTTTTTTTTTTCTGGTACGAAAACATGAAAGTTGTGTTCTCAAATTTGTGTCCTTCAAACAAAAGGGAAGAGATGGAAAGAAAACAATTTTTCATTTTCTTGAACCGAAAGAGAAAGGAAATAGAAGATGTCATTTTACAAATATACCCACCCTTTATATTTATTTTTCTCACTTCTCATGAGGGTATTTTTGTCATAAAAGATCACAAACTTCTTTCAAATTTCCTTTCCCTCTCTTTCTTCCCACATTTAGAAGGAAAGTTTTGAGAGGAAAAATAAATGGTATTTTCCCTCCTAAAAAATATAGAAAATAATGGTTTTTTTGTTTTCCCCTCTTTTCCCTCCCTTCCCTTTCTTTTCTTTCAAAATAAGAGTTTCGAGAATACAGTACCATGAGCTTGCTTCACAATATCTTGATCCTTTTTTGCAGGACTGGCACTTAAAGAAGCTCTTTTTGTTGTTAATGTTGAGGTGGATTTCACTCTGCTGATAATCTTTGGTTGTGGAATCAATGAAGTTTGATCTTTGATTCTTGCAGCCGGCTTCATTTGAGCATATATCAAATTGCACAAATAGAGGAAAATAAGAATAAGATCAATCATTCTACAATCATAAAAGAAAATTGACAACAGCTTTCAACCATACAACTCATGGAGCATAGTAGCATACCCGTTTTCCATTATCAAGATCCACCTTCTTTGATGCTGTAGAGAAAACAAAGTACATCATGAGCTACATTAATAGGTTGTGCATCTACATATAATTGTATCTTAAGGGCAGGTTCAAATGAGAATCGTAAATATTTTGAGAATCTGGAAACCATCTATCCTTGCTTTATTCATGATGAATAATATTCATGATTATTTAGGGTTATCCACCGTGATGAATACTATACATGAGCATATCATAGTAGAAGGATATGGTAATGATAAGATAGCATGTAACTGGTGGAAATAGTGCTTCTCATTGTGTATTAGAACCTAAGATGCTATCATTAGGTAGAGACGGGAGATAGATTTTCAACTTTCCAGAATTCTTTGATGTCAAGTAATCATGGTATACTAATTACTAAGAAATAGAAATAGGAAGATATCATAGCCATTTATTATATGGAAGGGAAACTCACCGTTGCTAGCTTTTGCTTGAGAATCTTTCTTTCCTGAGGGCACCTTGATACTTGAATCATTCAGGTTAGATGCTCTATTAGATTTCTGGATTGAAGCTCGAATGTCTTCAAATAGTTCAGCCTCAAGAGATTCAAGTGTCAAGTTATCACTTTCTAATGTTGAGATTGATTCCATTGATCTGTATACTTCCTCTTCAATTCCTGGTAACTGATGTTTTACACCCTTCTCACCTCCTTCAATCATAGTTGATAGCTCCTCTGCATCGAGAACGCCTGTGTATAACAACGAATTGCTTCTGATTTGCAACACTGATAGGAAAGAATTGGTGCCATAATAAATGAAATAAACATCAAGTTACAATTATAGCATACCATCACTAGTGAAAAAGGCACTGTCCCAGGCTAAACTTTTGCGTAAGTTGAACTTGGCATTCTTCCCTGTCTTTTCCGGTTCTGGTGTTTCAAGCAATTTAGGCATTTGTTCTATCTGCTCACTTTTGTGAGCCAAGTCCACTGCTTTATCAGCATCAAGTCCTAATTGCTCAAAGCTTGTCTCATTCCCAAGTCCTGGATGTTATGCAAATTAAAAATTAGGCCGTGTCACAAATATAAAGAACAGAAAGCCACATGGCTTTGGTAACCGTACAGGGAGCACAAATTTGCTCGACTGTAGTATAATAACCCTACAGAAAGCTACATCATACTGTATATTTATCATATATTTGCATAAGCTATATGAATGGTCAAGGTCTCATAAATAACAATGAAACAGTATGATATGCAAATCAGAATGGCATCACAAAGCGTCAAAGACTTGCAGTCACCCTTGCAGACTAGGAGGGATGCCTGCAGCATGGTCATTTGACCACTAGTGAGCAGGGAGAGAGAGCTTAATCTGAATCAATTAAAGGTTCTAACTAATACTATTACTGGTAATTATCATTATATCATTATCACATAAAGACGACCCTACCTACTTTAGTAGCATTATAAAAGTTTAATTAGCCTATAAAGTCTAAGACACTGTTAACCGCAATCTCAGCACAAAATTCATAAAGATGTGCTAGAAGAAAGTGCACAAACTAAACAAAAAATGGTCTAAAAATCCGTTAATAATGAAGCTGGATTGTTAATCACATATATGAACAACTTAAGAGCCAAGAGTCCATGCCAAGAAAATTAATTCCCATCAATAGGTCAGCATTTAGCCACACATGAGAATGTGTTCTCTTACTTAAGCATCACAGAGTGTAACTACACTGCTACAAAGAATTTATATCAAGATTCTTCCATAACTTGGAAACTACCAACAAAGTTAACCTGTGAAATAAATAAAGAAGGCACTAGAACCCATGAAAGCCTGGGTTTCATTGTTCTTACACCACAGACGCAAATTGTGCACTAATCATCCCATACCATTCACTTTAGCTGATGTTAAACAATAGAATGTCATTGGTCACAAAGTAAACAACAAGATAGAGATATAGAAAGTACTACCAACCAACACTAGTGATCGAATGGTTAACCAGCATTTGCCCCCCCCCCCCCTACTAACAAACACTTTTACCCAAGTGATATCTTTGAATGAGCACCAATATGATCAGTACAATTCTTATGTAGCAAATAGCCACAGGCCACTTAATAAAATTATGCTCATTGCTCAATTGAGCTAAACACCTATTCCTAACATCCATTACTTTGGATAATGTCCAGTCCAAAACGCCAAGCATTATATCACAAGCTCAAGTTAGTTTAAACAAAGGAATTTACTCCACCGGCAGTCTGGTGACTTACAGGGTTAGTCTTTTAGGATGATGTTTATTTAAGGATATCGCATTTTTTACGAGATGCAACCAATAATGACAAGGATATATGTAAGAAACAATGCCCTCCCTTATTCCTGATTTCCTACAAAAAAGTTTCATGTCAAATCTTACTTCTCCGGTAAAATCACTTTGTTGCAAATATTCTCCAGAATTACTTTGTTGGTACGTGGTAGTGTTTGTTATTAGGTTATCCTAGTTTTTTTTGGGGGGGAAACAGTTATAAGATCCATATTTGAAATTGAAACGAACTTGATGAAATCAAATAAAAATTACATTAAACATAATCAGAATTCAAGTTATTCTTCAGTCAAAAACAAAAAGAATTCGAATAAATCCTGATTTAATACGATTAAATCTGTTCCGCCCGCGCCCTAGAAACCAAACAAAGAAATCAAAGTTCAATCCTATGTAACGCTTAGAAAAATACAAGAAAAAACCTGAAGATCGATCGTCAGTAAGAGTGGAAGAAGACGAAACATCGATCACGAGGTTATCACTCTGAGATAAAGCGTCGTCGCCGGTGGCAACTGATCGTTTCGCTTCAAGATCCTTCCCAACACTCTCTTCCATTTCACAGGTGAAAACCCTTGTTTTGATCTGAATCTGTGAAGAAAACCAGTGTGTGTGTGTGTGTTTGTGTGTGTGTGTGTGAGAGAGAGAGAGAGAGAGAGAGAGAGAGAGAATGAGTGGAATGAATTTTTGAATTTACAATGGAAGGCGGTCTCGGCTGAAAATTAGAACGTTATTTGACGTTAAAAAGAGAGCTATGTTTCAAATAAAGTCCCTCATCTATATGTTAAGTTGCATTTTAGTCCACATATTATGTGTCATGCAATATCAGTCCCTAAATGAAAATCAATATAACGTTTTAGTCCCTTGATTACTTTATCATCGACCGAGCGTTGTGTCGTGGAACGTCGTATATATTTCTGCGGAGGAAAGAAGAATGGCTCGAAATACAATATGTTAAGATTGTTTATATGTTGATTGTAACTGATAATCTTATTTAATGTCGAGTTTTACGTTTTTAAGTCCGGTTAAATACTGAAACAAATTAGGTAATTTATTACAGATAAGGCTTAGTCGATGCATGAGACGGATTAAAAATGATGATCAAAAACCCATATTTAAGTTATAATCTTTTCCCTGATTTTGTTATGTAAATGTATTGATGTTAACTACAAGGGTGGTGTCTAATTGGTTTGAGCTTGACTCAAAAGGTCAAAAGTATCAGGATGTGTCAAGTTCAAATACAAGGAGGAATAAAAATCCCCTTGTGCCCACGGAGGTTCAAATGCGGTGACTCCAGGTTATCTTTAAAGCAGGTGGTCGTCATGGGATTAGTCGGCTTGCATAGCGGGTTGGATATTCAGGTTAATGAAAAAAAATGTGTTGATGTTGTCCAAGGCTATATATGAGAACCTGAAATGAGGGTTGGGTTCATGTAAAACAAGGTTGTTTTCATGAGACACACGAGACATGATTTTTACACTTGAAACTTCACAACAAAATTTTATGAAGATAAAAAAAGTCAAATATTCACAGCAAAAACAATGTGAAGGTTACCTTTACAGGTGTTTTGATGGGAAATTCCAAATATAAAAACCGTGTCTCACGAAAACAGTATTGTCTCACATGATCTCAAGTCCTTGAAACGATTCAAACAAAGACAACCTACTATTGTGAAGTGATTGTTTAAATATGAGCGTCAAACCTTGATTTGATTAAATTGGAGATGAAGGGTTCCAACCTCGTCAAAGCTAATGAGGAGCGTGTGAGTTTCATTTCTCGTATATAAATATTACATACTTGCTTGATTTTATAAAGAGTAAATTACATGAAAAAATAACGTATTTTAGCTTTATTCCTATTTTGAGTAGCGTACTTTCAAAACTTCCATTTTGGTACCTAAAATGTGAAGTTTTAAACATTTAAATATCCGGGTAACTGATTGAATCATTAACCGGTTAAACATTTTTATAGTTTGATTAAAGTTAACAATTTATTATTGTATATAGACATTATCTTAAAATTCATATATGAACTTAATAAATGTAAAATGTGACAAAATATACAACTATTAACATAAAAATATAAATATGTACAAAAATTACTTGATTAAAAGTTTAACCTATTTTATACACTTTTAAAGCTTAATTTGGACCCTTTACACGAACGAGTAGTTCCTCGTGTAGCCACGATCCCTAGGGGTGAACATGGGTTGGGTTCTGGATCGGGTTAAAAAGCCATGGGTTTCGAGTCCTGTCGGGTCTTGGGTTTCTTCTATCACCACCCACAACCATCTTTGTCACCATTTTTTTTAATAGAAATAAATCGTTTTCTCGTAACCCAATCAACTGGAATCCAATAAAAGTTGAGCTCGCGGCATACATATTGGCAAGGTCACACGAACCATTCCCAATAAGACGATAATCATTAAGCCAAAACACGAATGTGATTATCAAGATAACAATAAGTACACATCCTACTAAAACCAATGACGATAAGGGTCTGCAATCCAAGTTACAAAAGGAACAATTGCATTTAAACTCTTTGACAAAAGTATCAAAACTAATGCAGCAGGAGAGGAGTGAGACCTCTGCATAACACTTTAAGATCTTGGCTTCTCCTTCTTCTCCTTGAATAGAGCCAAAAGAGATACACCAGAAACCTTCACAACCTTGAACCTAACTCCGGGAATATCTCCCACAGCGTGACCCTTTCGTCCAAATCCAGCAATCAACACTTCATCCTGTGTCGTATAAAAACAGTTGAAAATCAACTTTTGATACCATGCACCAAAAATAGTTGTCGCTAAAGACTAGTTGGTTGATAAGCTAGCTAAAAACCTAGCTGTTGGCTGGCTGATAAGCTAGCCAAAAAACTAGCTGTTGGCTGGTAAGCTAGCTAAAGAAACTAGGTGTTGGCTGGCTGATAAGCTAGCAAAAAAAACTAGGTGTTGGCTAATAAGCTAGCAAAAAAACTAGGTGTTGGCTATGGCTAATAAGCTAGCAAAAACTAGGTGTTGGCTAATAAGCTAGCAAAAAAACTAGGTGTTGGCTGATAAGCTAGCAAAAAAACTAGGTGTTGGCTGATAAGCTAGCAAAAAAACTACGTGTTGGCTGATAAGCTAGCTAAAAGACTAGATAGTGACTAAAAAATTATCTGATAAACTAGTAATGTTTGGTAAAAACTAGATGATGATGTAAAATGACTTGAAGACCTGTAACAAGAAACATACGTTTTCCTCGATGTAGTTCAAACAACCATCGTTGGGTACAAAGGCGGCAATCTTCTTTCCGTTCTTAATGAGTTGGACTCTCGCACACTTTCTGATAGCAGAGTTAGGCTGCTTAGCCTCAATACCACTGCATGCAACATTCAGTTATTTGTAATGATTGAAATCAAAAACTAGATGACTGAGTGAAGATTGAAACAGGATAAAGGGAAAAGGTTACATCTTCTCAAGGACGATTCCTTTTGCATGAGAAGAACCGGCAAATGGCTTTTTCCATTCGTTCCCAAGGTGAGACTTCTTGTATGACTTGTCTGCCCACCTTTGTCTCCTGCGGTGAGACTTCAACTTGCGACCAGCTCCCATTCCATGTGTCTTACTGTAAAAGTCGCAACGATTAGATTATGCACCATTCAAAACTAAAAAAAGCTAAGCCTTTAATTAGAAACAGATTATTCTTTAAAGAACATATAATCACATTCTTAGACAACAAAAGTTGACATGGAATCCAAAAAAAACCAATCAAACAATACCTAAAATATAAGTACGTTATTGATCAATGATGATCAGTATGACAGTTAATCCATATAGCAGTTCTATTTCCTACGTAGCCTTGTTTAATTGACTAAATGAACCTGATGTACATGTAAAACTTAGTTTTGTTGGATTTTTACGTTGTGTTAAGAAATTCAATGGAAATTGACGACCGTTGAATCGATACTGCTAGTTTTTACAGAGAATAGCATTTACTGTATATTAGCTGATTTTTTTGCGACTGGTATGTTTTTTGTTGTACATGAGCACATGTTCAAATCAGAAAAATAGAAGATGTTTTTCTGTAATTCGTGTGCAAATTACTTTGATTTCCACCATACAATTAAGAAAACTTCTAATTTTCTATCCAATTTGATTTCTACTATACAATTTACTATCCAAAATTTTTTTGCAAGACTTCCTTTTAAAAACAAATTAAGCATTGTACAAGCTGCAAGTTATTCGTCTCAAATACGTGTTTATGATCTCTTTCCAAGTTCCCAACAAGTAGGTAGAATTATGAGTTACAAACTCAACCCAGTGTTCCAAAATCAAATTCGATTCAGTTCCTTTAATATTGCAATTTGAAATGTTCTATCATGATATAATCCAAATTAACTAATGTGATTACTAATTATGTTGCTTACATCAACAACACATTTATGAAAGTTCAAAATACAACGCATTTAACCTTTAAAAAGTAAAATATGCATCCACTATAGCTTTAAAAGTTTGCACACAAATTAATTGAAAACCTCATAAATCAAGTAACAAACATTTATACAAAAATTTCTTCCATTTCCAAATTGTTTAATTATTTTCCTAGTTTCTGATTTCAAAATCTCAAATCCTATCACATTCAATCATAAGCTCATGCTTACAGCAAAAAAAAAAAAACATATAATTCACAGAAAAATCAGTAATAAACAGCAAAAGCTATTCTCTGTAGTATCAATCCAACGGTCGCCATTTTCCATCAAATTTATCGACACAACATAGAAATCCATCAAAACTCATTTTTACATGTATTTCAGTTAAAAACTAAAACTTAAAGCGCATGATTTCATTTACATCCAAAAGATATATGGAAACCCTAGATATACAAAGACGTACGCATGCATATAGATGAAGAAGAAAATGAATTGAATCAATGGAGATAATACTTACCCCATGTTTGCGAGATTGGACTGAACTGCCTACTTCGAATCAAGTTTTTGGCGAGAGCTTGAGGAAGGAGCGGCTGCCTTCGAGCAAAAACCCTAATTCTCGTTCACAGATAGATGGGGATGTGTTTTATATGAAAAGGGTATGTATGTTAAATGGGCCGTATTGGGCCTTCGTTAGTGGGCTTTTTCATTTTGGGCCTCGTTTAGAGGCTCGTGCGATATGGAAATCATATCCAATAAAAGGTTATAAAAAATTAATTAAGAGAACGTTCATCAAATGTATATCCGGTAAGTGAATATTTAGTCACATTACGAGATCGTTTATTAAACTTTTTTATCTTGGTAAGTGTTTACCGGTTCAATTATCTTACCAGGTGAACATGATTAAAATCGGGAATCTTACCCGATAGAGGGAAGACAATGATCGAGAGTCTTACCCGGTAAGCAATTATCTGGTTATAAATGTTTGCCATCAAATAGTTTTGATGGCCAACAATATTACCACATAAGGTAAAAGTGAGTGGTGATTTTTTGTCAGTAAGCGTTTGATAAACGACCATATACCTTATCGGATGACCGTATCAAGAACTGAGAATCTTACCTGTTAAGAGTGATGTCGTTTGGTTGGACTAAGGGGCTGTTTATCAAACGCTTACTCGGGTAAGTGAACACCAAGTCTCGTTACTTTATGGGATGAATATGGTAAGGACCAAAAAACTTTCCCGGTAAGAGCGAGACAAAGACCAAGAGTCTTATCCGATAAGTGAGGGCAACGACTTTTACCACGGTAAGTGCTTACCGGGTAAATTGTTGCGTACGATATCGTTTTGATGGACTAAAATATTATCCGGTAAATAAATGATAGTGTTAAATTTACAGATAAGCGCTTACCGGGTAAGTATTTGGTAAACGGCCCCTAAATCTTACCAGGTAAGGTAAATGATAATATTGAATGTACTGATAAACATTTACTGGATAAGTGTTTAAGTGAACAATCCGTAAATATTTAAAAGGATTTTTAATTTTAACAGGTTTTTTATTTTAAAAGATTTCTATATTAATTATTTATTAAAATATTTTATACTTTTAACATGCTGATACACTCAAAATTTATATAAAATAAAAACAAATTTATTTCATTAAAAATAATAACTTTCCCCCCTCATCAAATTTTAAATGATTTTCCCTTTATTTTTTTCTATTTTAAAAAATAATATAAAAAATCAATTAAAATAAAATAAAAAACAAAATATCTATTTTATTTAATTTAAAGAATCTATTACAAATGCTTTAATTTTATTATTATGTGTACACATAGTAATAATAATTTTCTAATTCTATTGAATTTTACATTTTTTGTATTGAAATGTGTGTTTTTGTATGTGTATATAATGTGTTTAATGAATGATAGATTAAGGGGTTGTTTACTAAATACCTATCCGATAAGTGTTTACCAATAAAATTTAACACTATTATACACCTATCGAGTAAGATTTTAGTCCACCAAAAATACATCGCATGCAATAATTTACCCGGTAAGTGCTTACCATCGTAAGAGTCGTCGTTCTCACTTACCGGGTAAGACTCTTGGTCCTTGTCTCGCTCTTACCAAGTAAAATTCTTGGTCCTTACCATATTCATCTGATGAGGTAATATAACTTGATAAGCGTTTATCCAAGTAAGTGTTCGATAAACAATCCATAAAATGGTTGTAATATGTCACAAAAACCTTAAATTAACATTAATTTTGAAGTTCATTCTTATTGAAATACAAGAATTATAACCCACACCCCTCAATTTTCAAAGAAATAACTTTAATGACCACAAAATCAACAACAATTAAATTTGACCCCCTCTTTTTTGCAAACTTTTGCTATTTAGACCTTTGTAATGTATGAACTCTTCACCCTGCTAATGAAGAACTTGCTCAAATCAAATGACCATAGAAATGCTGCTTTCCACCTTGGGTGGCCCCGAATGGCGCCTCGGTCTAGCCGGTGGGCCCGGAAACGAAAGCCGTTTCTTCATGCCCAACTCCTTTTCTGGGGTGATCTCACCACCGTTCTCCACCGGGCCCAACAGACTATGTCCCTTCGATTTGGCCTTTGCTGATTTCGTTTGCGACATGTAACCAGGAACCGATGGTGAGCTATCCATGCTCTCATCGTCTCTCACGGAAGATCCCGCAATGCTATGCCTTCGGTTCATCTCAGATTGTACGCTAAAAACGCTTCTAGCGTCGTCATCTGGACCCGTCCCGAAGGCTCTTGGGCCAGGCCTGCGCTTGAATTTCCGTGATGCCACGGGAACGCCTGTTGTCGACTTTGGAGTTGACGGGGTGGAGTTGAGGTGGCGACGGGCGTAAGACTTTGCAATTTCGGTCCCGGTAATGCTGATGCCGTTTTTAATAGATGAATGATCTTTTTCGACTCGTGTCTCGAATGGCCGGCTCGCCATGTATCGCTCTAACCAGCTCCAACCCCATTGAGGATTCGTCGGGTCCATGAACAGCAAGTTTGTCGTCCTCGATGACTTCTTCCAAGGCTGCCAGGATTCATAACATTTCAAACAAGATGCAGAAACATTAAACTTACATGGGATAACATGTTTTTGTTCTGTGATGCCTCAACCTGTCTAGCGTACCAAACACAGCCAGAAAAGCATGACGACTACGTACCTGATGAGAAAACGAATACGCCATGGCCCGTTCTCGTCTCATAGTTGCTTCATACTTGCTCAGTAGCTTTGCTTCGATTTGTTCTTTCGACTGCAAGCTATCGTTCCATTCTTCTCCCATCTGTTATAACATTTATATGTATACATTAGGCTTTCGTTCAATCAAGTTCTCAGATCTAATAAACCGAATCACGTAAAAACTAACCTGCAAACTCTCGATTTCTTTCGCCTGTTTCTGTAGGATTTGTCTCTGAAGAGCCTGATTCTCCTCGGACATCCTGATCCTCCGAGAGTTGATCTGGCACTGCACTCGTGATAGATGTTGCATGCATTTGAGCGTGTTTGCGGTTTGCCGATTGGCGGTTGGTCCCTCGACCAGTGTTTTCAATCTAACAAGCCCTCTTAAAGCCCGTAATGCCCTCCGTGCCTGAAAATATGGAACAAGAAATCCGTCACAAAGTTCATGAATAAAGATCATAAACAACAAATAGAGTTGCACAAGAAGGCCCGAGCACGAAACCTAGGAAAGCCCGGGCCTAGTTAGCCCGAATCTCAGTCCCAAGTCAAGCCTCAAAACCCGAAAAAGCTCGAGCCCTGTGCATGTGTATCTCTAGAACCGTGTTCACCAATTTGGGAAGAAACGAAAAGAATGTGGGGGAAAATGGAAAGGAAAAGAATTTTTTTATTTGTGTTCTTGAAATGGAAAAGAAACAAAAATTTCATGTTCTTAAACCGAAAATAAAAAGAAAAAAAGATGTCGTTTTTACAAATACGCTCTTTATATTTGCCTTTTCCCTACAAGGGTATTTCTGTCACAAAAGATCACATATTCCGCTCGTATTTTTCTTCCCACATTTGGAAGGAAACATAATCGATAATTCCTCTCATATTCCTTTCCTTTACCTCCTAAAAAGTTTAGAGAACACGTAGTTTTTTTGTTTTCCCTTCATTTCCTTTATTTTCCGTCAACAAAAAGATTTCGAAAACACAATGTAGTTGGCAATGTCTTTACAAGAATTAATGATTTGAGATAATACGAACATACCAAATACCCGCGAAAGGTTGTTTGAATCCTGATAGCCGCTACCTCCACCTTTGACATTCCCGAATACCGAGTCAACTCAGCAAGTCGAGCCGACTCAGCAGCCGCCTGAGCTGCAACCGTTGCAGCTGAGACAGATGCTTCTGCCTCAGCTGCAACCAAATCAGCATGTTTTGTTTGCTCATCCTCCACTTCAATCGGTTTCACTTCCTCCACCTCTGGTGGAGGAAGTGAAGGCGAATCACGAGATCCACTAGCAACTTCTTCAAACGAAGTTATGGGTACTGAAGGTTTTTCATCTGCAACCCCTTTCTTCTTAGATTTCTAGAATCAAAACAAGAAATCATCATAAATTAATCACCATTTTAGCTCGATCAAGATCGGGATAAGAATGTACAGATAATAAAACCTGGCTTTTCTTTCCCTTCGAGCTCGGACTCAGAGCCTTTTTAATGGAAGATAACCAGCTCCCTTTCTTCCCCATTACTGTATCATTCCCTAAATAATAAGATCCAGTTCTTAATTCCATCAAATGATATCCACTTTGACTTTTAAAAGTCAAAACCATTACTCATCAAACCTAGATTTTGATATGAATTATGAATCTAACAACAATTTTTTTCCTTTTTCTGCTAAATATTATGAACTTTGATATATTCAGCAGTTTGTTTCTGAAAATTTGAAGAAGTTTGCATGAATTAGTCGAAAAACAAACCAACCATTTGACTTCAAAAGTCAAACCATAACTGTTTATTTTTTGGAATCAAGGGAATGGAATTCTTCTATATATGCATACATTTGTTGCTCAATGGGAAGAGAATCTGATCCCAAAATCTAAGATGCTATGAATCCCATGAATCTGAATCAGATCTAATACAGAAAAAAAATCAAATGTCGTAAAATCCAACATAAATTTCATAGGACAGCTAATAGAATTATTGAAACTTGAAGAAAATTAGTTGGATCGAAGACATTATACCAAACCCTAATCCCAATTCGTCAAGAACTTGAAGAAATTCGATTAAAAAAATCAGAAACTATACACCACAACAGCCAAATCTACTGTACGTACTTGAAGAAAATGAAAATCAGCGAGATCCACGAATTACGCGATAATCAGATTCAAGTAAACACTAAGAACAACAAATGCAATCGAATTACAGGAGAACAAACGATTTGCAGCAAAATTCACACAATACCAGCTACAAACATAACTTCAAGACGATCATAATTGAAACTTGCCTGTAATCGAAACTGATTTAGATCTTTGAGAGCTTGTTATCCATGTAATCTGCAGTGCTGGATCACATGGTGAGTTAAAGGGTTCGACCCGATGGGAAGGGGAACAGATCTTGGGGAGCAAATGGAGTTGAAACACGAGATTCGGAAGGAATATGAGCTTGGATTGACGATTGGGGCAAGTGGGTCCATTAAATTCAGTGTTATTTTATATTTCACTGTTTTTATCTTTTTGAAAACAGAAATTTTTGGTGACGTTGGTGAAGGCTTTTCTTGTACACCTTTTTAGGCAAATGGTCTCAAAGATGCACACATTTTAGTGAAAAAGAAAAACTTTGGAATTGTGCACCGAGTTTGGTTCGTAAAATAGAATTTGATAGAATTTGATGATATGTTTGGTTTGATAGGAATTGAATTCTCCATCTTTATTGGAGGAAGGGTGGGCGGTGACAGCTATGATGACGACAATAATAACCTGGTGGTATTGGTGCTTAGTGGTGGTCGGGGAGTTAGAGGTCGGCAGGGGTGGGGGCAGGGGTGGCGGTTGTGATGACAACATGCCATTGGTGGTGGGGGTGGTTGTGACTGGGATAGAACGGCGGGAGGGTGTTGGGGGCGTGACAGTGATTATAGTAAATGGTTGTGGTGGAGACAGAAGGTGGGCGGTGTTAGGTTTAATTTGATGCGAAGGGATGAAATTCAATTCATTAACTTATGGCAAAGAATGATGAATTCATCAATTTATGGAATTCAAGTTCCATCCATTTTAATATGTGAACCAAATGAAAAAATTGGAATTTGGTCAAAGAAATTGATCATATTCCAATTCCCTTTAATTCCCTTAAATTCTTCAAACCAAAAAGCCTCTAAAATTGTCAAAGTATTTCACTGAGATTATATGGGACTGGTTCTCTTTGTTAGCAGTTTAACGAGCTTAATGAGTATCACAGTTTATCCGATCAATTATACATGACTGTTTGATAATGACTTAATGATATAAAAATTGACTTGTTCAATAAAATTGTAGGAAAGCTTTATGTAGAAAGTCGGATTTTTTCCCCAAAAAATGTACTCTTATTTAAAAAAACATGTTCTTTTCATCTATGAAAAAAACTCTTCCAAGCAAAAACTTTATCAATTTATACAGATATATTAATCAACAGACAATTTTATCAATATGTGACTTAATAGAAAACCAACCAGATATCCCCTATCTTTACTTCGATAGATAATTGAAATTAAATTTAAGAAGTTGTTTGCAAATCATAAATCTGGCAAGAATGCAGTAAAGATTAAGACACTAATCATGTTCTTCCCTTAGGTTACCAGTCAAGTTGTTCATGGGTGCTACGCCCTATCAGGCTTGTACAATCATCCTAAAAGATATGGGCGGGCCCAGGCTGGACCATTAAAATTGTTGGGTGTATCTTTAAGGTGGATCAAATACTTATAAAGTCGTTGTTTGACCTTGTGGAAAAGTCAATCGCAGTTTAACTCGGAATTTAAGGACAATTTACTACTCGCTTGTCCTAATTTATTGGGTAAAAACCGCTTATCAGAAATGTTGTTGTTTACTAAACCTCTCATACCGGTTTATGATACTAAAACTGTAACATGAGAGAATGACATAATTAATGCTAACCCATACCCCAGTCGAGAATGGTGACCTCAGTGTTCTGAGTACCCATTTAACTGATTTTCGCAAGCAAATCTGTTTTGGGGTATGAAAGGTGGATCCGCTAAACTTTGTAAGTTGCTTTTGGATAGAAAATACAAGGGGAAATTAATCAAAAAAAAAAAACATCTTCCAAAATCAACAAAAATACAAAAAAATAGTGTAACTCGGCTAAAAACACATCGTTGATTGGTTTGGTATTACCAACCGACTGTAAACTAAACTGATACCAGTTTAATAGTACACACGTTGATTGGTTTGGTACAAAATTGTCGTCATGCATATATAAAAGACACACAGACTTCCAATTGTAACTGATATAAAAAAAATATTTCAGATTTTCTAATGATGATTATAGAGCTGATATAATATAGGGCAAATTGAATGAAAATGTGACGTACTTTAACGTAATTTATATTTTGGGTAACGTATTTTCGAAACTTCTATTTTGGTACATAAGATATAAAGTTTTAAACATTTAGGTATCCGAGTAACTGCTTGAAGCATTAACTCTTTCTTCTAATAAACCACAATACATAAAAACTAATTGTAGATTAAGATATCCATGTCATCAAATAAAGGCAAATTGCATGAAAAAGTAACGTACTTTAACTATATTCTTATTTTAGGTAACGTCATTTCAAAACTTTCATTTTGGTATCTAAGATGTAGAGTTTTAAAATTTTAAGTACTCAGGTAACCGGTTGAAACATTAAGCAATTATCATGCTGATGTGGCGAGTGATGTGGTATCCAACTCAATATTATTTGTTGACGTGATTAATGACATGAATTTTTTAAATCTAAAATCAGTCTTCTTTTTAATTTAAAATTAGTCTTCATCGGGTACTTAAACGTTTAAAACTTCAATTTTATGTACCAAAATGGAAGTTTTGAAAGTACATTACCCAAAATATGAATAAAGTTAAAGTACGTTATTTTTTCATGCAATTTGCCCCAACAAATAATATTGAGTTGGATATCACATCAGCATGGTAACCGATTAATGCTTCAACATGTGACTCGAGTACTTAAATGTTTAAAACTTTACTTCTTAGATACCAAATTGAAAGTTTTGAAAAATACGTTACCTAAAATAAAAATCAAATTAAAGTACGTTATTTTCTCATACAATTTACCCTATAATATAATATTTCAAATTGGATTTTGATTTCATATTATTGATTTGTCCTATCAAAACAATTGATTTTGTATATTATTTGGTTACAAAAATGTATATATTTGTGGGTTTGGCTAAAAAAAAACCTATGATACAATATGAGAATGAGGAATGAATTACAATGCATTTACTGTTTGACCTAATTACCCTTTAATGATTCTTGGAATATGAAGATTCCATAGCATTATTTTGGAGCAACCATCTTGTGGGACCCCCTTCAATTTGGTTTCCTCCTCAAGGACTTCTTCCTTCACAAACTTTATAGAATTCTGCAAATTCCATTAAATAAGTGTTAGATTCCATTAAATTCTTATTTGAACACATCCACATACATACATACATACATACATACATACATACGTGTATATAACAAGGTTCAAATGATAATAATAACCAATAAAAGAACAAAAAAGGGTCAAATCACGTGCAAAATCATATTTCTCCATAGTAATGGGTTTGGTATTGTTGTTGTTAGTAATTCAATTCGTAGGATAAAATGTAAATTCAGGAAAAAGAGGAACAAAAAGTAGTGATTTTAGAAAAAAAGAGGAATAAAAAGATGATCAATACAGACAACTATATCTATACAGGTCATAATAAACAAACTGAACAACCCCTTAAACAGCCTATTTGGCCTAGTGATTTGCGAGTCTTTGACCTCCTAAAAGGTCAGGAGTTCAAATCTCACCAAAGATGAAGAAAGTGTGTAAATTTATTTATTCTTTTTGCCGTATATAAATATTATATACTTTAAAAAAAAAACTATATCAGACATGCAAGTATATATGTAAGTTTGGAAGGGGCTCTTTTTGTTTTTTTTTTTAATTTAAACAGGGGGTAAACATGTAAATTAATTAGAATTGACAGCTTACCTGAGAGGTGTGTTGGGCAGATGAAAGCCGACCCCATCTTTCCGGGTCCCACAATATTGAACTGTTAAATCCAACGGTGGAGATATGAACAGGTGATCTGGTCGCATCATCTTCTGAGTTGTTCAGATTTTTCAAATGCCACCCTACAACTTCAGAGGAATCACAAACTGGCCCCTCAATTCTCACTTTTTGTCTATTTGCTGATAAAAATGCCATTGGCCATGTCCCAAACACCCTGCATCCCAAATTCAATCATATACCAATTCAAACATTTTCAATGATCACGAAAAACAACTCCAAATTCATTTACCAAAAACCCAAAAAAAATTAAGTTCATGAAAAGTGCAACCGTATTAATTTGTCGTGTGTCATCGTATGTATTTTGAAACTACATCGAGAACAAGTTTTATTTGATGGAGTTGGTTTGCAAGACTTTTATTCCACTCCAGACTCAAGTCCAAATCATGTTAATGTCATTTTTCTTAGTCAAATGGTGTCATCATTTAAAAAAAAATATGTACATTTGTTTCTTATAGTCAAATGGTGTTACCATTTGAATTTTTTTTCCTATATTTTTTTTCTTATAGTCAAACAGTGTCACCATTTGAAAAAATTTATGAGTCAAATACTGTTCTTTTATAAGACATTTGCTTAAACTCTGGCTAAAATAATAATTCAATTAAAAAAAGTGAAGTTGATTGAGGTAATTGACTATTTTGATCAATTTCCCAAAAAAAATCATGGTGTCTCTGCATAACTGAATATTTAGTACGTGCAGGATTCGAACACGATCCTTTTTCCCATTTGGGAAATACTGATTCACTGTTCGTAATGATATTTCTAAAAATTCATAATAACGAAGGGGGGGGGGGGGACTTACTCGATGGCTCTGATCTCATCAAAGAAGCTTAGATCGTAAATGTTGTAGAGCGAAGCAAAATGAACGATCCCGCTTAACCTATGATACTCGATGTGCTTAAGCGCGACATTTCTTTGATGATCCATTTCGATTTCCACATCCGTAAAATTCTCCTTAAACACCAAATGTCTATACATGACATTAGTTTTCCGCAAAATGTCAGATACTTCCGTAGACTCGGATTGAGATTCCACGACAACCCACAACAGCGGCGGAGGAACTAACGACAACGTGTTTGCCATTTTTCTCAAAAGCACCCCTCGAAGATCATCTTTGTCGCTCGTTGGAGTGACGACGATCACAAGCCTCTGAGGGGTTAAATTTACCTCGTTGCCCGTTTCGCCCTTGTCATCCGTCTCTTGTTTTCGATCAAGATTAGGCCTTTCGTGTACTTTCATCGATGAAGATTCATCCAACACGCTCCTATCGAAATTCCCACTTTCTTGTTCGGAAACTTTGCCGGAGATTTCCTCCGGTGACGGAGATATCTCCGGCGAACGATTGGATGTAATAACATGAGTGGTAGGGAAAGAAGGGTTGTTTGTAGGAGCAAAGCCAGTGAAGAAGCCCATGATGAAACATAACAAGAAATGGACTGTGGCTTTCTTCCATAATTGAACCTTTTTCTTTGGTCTTTCTGATGATCCCATGAAGGTTGAAAGAACCCAAAAACAGAAGGGCAAAATTGGGTTTTCAGATGGGAAAAGAGAGGGGTATAGGGGGGTGGATGATGATGGTGATGATAAATATGGAAATAAGAAGGTTGGATTTATATGTTTCTAGAGTTGAAAGGGGTAAAATGGTAATTTTGTGTTAGTAGAATTTGATGAAAACCAATTGATTCATGATTGATACAGGTGAACTTGATTTTGGGTTTGTTTTGATGTCTCTTTTCTATCATAAAAAATGTAATACATACATATATATATATATATATACATACATATATATATATATATACACACCCACACATATATAGAGACTAGGAAACACGTAAGACCAACATGTTTTCGTAAGATCCATGAAACAACTTTTTTTATATTTGAACCTTCACAACAAAACGTTGTAAAAGTAATCTTCATAGTTTTTTGTTGTGAAGATTCAAATTTATTTTACTTTCATAATGTTCTGTTGTGAAACTTCAAGTGTAAAAAAGTGATCCCATGAAAACTGGTCTTACGTGAACCCGACCATATACATACATACATACATACATACATACATACATACATACATACATACATATATATATATATATATATATATATATAGGGATGTTATTCTACACCATTTGCCATTCCTATACCCTATACAACCCTCATCTCAACCATTCAATTTTTAATCAATTAATTGTTTCCTAATATAAACTATTAATCATAATTAATAAACTCTATTCATAATCCATAAATATTAAAATCATAATAAATGAACTCCAATCATTTCTATAAATATCTCAATTAATTGGGTTGCAAAGGTAATTTTGCAAACCACGTTATTTATACAAACCTCGTTCAACCAATCAAAAATTTTCATTTTTTTCATTTTGTTTTTTTTTTTTTTTGTAATTATGAGAGGTTGATTAATTATTTTTATTGTAGAGAGTGTTAATTAAGGATATTATCATCTTCATTATATTAATTTTAGAGAAATATATGAAACAATTTCATTAAAATTTTATAAGTATTATATGAAACAATTTCATAACCATATATGAAACAACTTCATCAAAAAAATTATTATATGAAACAATTTCATAAGATTAAACAATTTCATGAAATTTTTTCATAATATTAAACAATAAAATCGATGAATGATGATAATTTACACAGTTTGTACAAATATAAATGGTTTGCATTTGATCGCTCTTCCCCCTTATATATATAACACTATGTGTAAGCAGAAAAAGAGAGAGTTGCAATATTTTATTTTTATTTTTAAATTATATTGTACTTATTGATCTATTAATAATCATTATTATTGTTAAAACAAAGTCATTGGTTGTTGAACTCGTATAAATCAGATAAATACGATCTAATTGATTTGATAACGAAGTATGTAATCCTTCCGATATATATCTGAGTGAAAATTCAGTGATTACTTAACTTAAATTGTTATCTAACTTCATGTATTTTCCCTATCCACCAAATAATCTTTGTTCTGTAATTCTTAAAGCCACTTCAGATAAAAAAAATGTTAAACAGATTATGTACTGAAGTCATTGTCACAGTTTTCATGAACAAAAAATGGCTTAACAATACAGTTGTTTTCAAAAGACTCATACTGTTTTTTGGCCTGCCAGATATATAAAAGTATTACAACAGTATTTTTCTGATGACGATAAACAAGAAGTGATAAAATCCCAAATCATGAAATTGGAAACTCTTTTCCTTTTTAAAAATCATTTTTTAAGTATATAATATTTATATACGGCAAATGCAACAAATAAATTCACACTCTCTTCATTTTTGGTGAGGTTTGAACATCTGACCTCCTAAGAAACCAAAGACTACGATACCGTTAGGACAAATACAAAAAATAATAATTTTTTTTTGGGTGGAATTTTGATTCCATGTGGAAGATGAGGCATTGCTTGAGAAAGTCATCCCTTGAAATAGAAGAAAGAAATTGCTACCAAATAGTTGTTGAGATTTATAATCATCACCTAAAGTTGGTGTAAAATTTAAGTAATACCCAAATTAATTAATTAATTAATTAAATTATTTTATTTTTAATTAAATCATTAGAATATTTTATTAGCAATAAAATAAAATGGTAGTTACAATAAATAACCAACACACTATCAATCATTCGTTAATTCGGTAACAGAAAAATATACGGAAAAAAAGCGTTTCAACTTCTATCGAAATATAGAACCCTTTGAAAATTTCGATATGTGTTTTTTGGTCAAACGTGGTTTTAAAGATATCAACCATAAGGGTGATGTCTGATTGGTTTGAGCTTGGACTTTAAAGGTTAAAAGTACCTGGAGGTCCTAGATTCGAATTCAAGAATGAATAAAATCCTCTTATGACCATGGAGGTTCAAATGCGGGGACTCCGGGCTGCCCGCGAAGGAAACTTATGATTATTTCCTTCGATTTCTTTTTCTCGTAAAAAAGTTTCAAAAACACGATCCCTCCCTTTCCTTTTCTTTGTAAAAAAAGTTTCGAGAACACAACAATAGATTTTTTCCGAACCCTCCTCAGAGGTCACCAGTTCGAATCCTGCAAAGGTCACTGAGGTTTTACCAGTTGTTTTTCAGGGCCCTTGTGATTAGTCGAGGTGTGCGTAAGCTGATCTAGACACCCATAGTTAACAAAAAACAAGAAGTAACTCTACCCTTCTAAATTAGCAATGTGTTGAAGATTTATCATTTTATTGTGTTGGTTTTGACGATAATATCGTTGTTATACATTAATTGCTGTATTTATTGATAGTTTATTATAGAAAAAAACTAATCAGATCAAATTTTCCTCATCGATACCATGTGTGCTATTAAAGTTAAACGTATGGAAATACAATAGCATTGTATTCATGATATTATAGTATTTGAGTGTTTTTTTTTTATTAACCTGGATACCCAACCCGCTATGCGAGCCGACTAATCCAATGGGGACCCACCTGCTTTGCAGATAGTCCGAAGTCACCGCATTTGAATCTCCGTGGTCACAAGAGGATTTTTATTCCACCTTGGATTTGAACCTGGAACCTTCTGGTACTTTTGACCTTTGGAGCCCAGCTCAAACCAATCAGACATCACCCTTGTGGTTGTATTTGAGCGTGATTATGAACTAACAACAACATTCATTACCTGAAGAACGTCACATGTATCCATATTACTTTTAGGGTGCGTTTGGTTTGCAAGAATGTTTCTGAGGGATTTGGATTCCTGGAGGGATTTTGATTCCATGGGATTTGGATTGGATTGGATTTAAAATCCATTTATGTGTTTGGTTTGCAGGATTTTGATTTGATGTGAAATCCATTCCTCAAGCTTAGTTATCCCTTAAATCGGGTTGTTACTGTATCCTCTTCACTCAAGCTGAAATTGTAAGACTACCTCTTGAAAGAGAACAATGTATTGACCAAACAATTCATATTCATTCATTAGAGCAACAAAAATTACCAAATACGCACAAATATCAATCCGTGTACCGTAATTAGGGTTTATATACGAACGCAATCAATAAAATAGGTTCTTGAAATTGAATACAGACTACTGAGAACAGAGAGATATAGAGATTGAATCAAGAACTTACCTCCGATTACGGGAACAGGGAGATATATAGATTAGGGCTGATGGGAAGGAAGCGATGGATTAGGGCGGGTGTGAGGGAAGCGATGTCTCGTAAGCTGGTTGAAGCAATCGACAAGAAGCGATGGAGAGTATTCAGGCCCTGCGCAATCGTGTGGAAGCGATGGAGAGGAATTCCATGGGATTTGGATTTGAAATCCCGCGGTTTTGCAAAGGATTTCTAAATCCCGCGTCTAATGGATTTTTATGAAATCCTAGGATTCCAAATCCTTTACAATTAAGCAACCCAAACACAGGATTTCCTGGATTTTAAATCCAAATCCCCTCAAATCCAATCCATTCCGGCAAACCAAACACCCCCTTAGGGGATTTGTTACGTAATCAGCTGGTCACCAATTGAAAAGAAAAAAAGTAAAGAGGAACTTATATTAACTGTAATTTCAATAAACTGAAGTTATTTACCAAAATAAATTGTCTACTTTTTTTGAAGTGGATGAAATATCTGTATGCACTAGGAGGGTACTCGTGTAATACATCGAGACACATCTCAATTTCAATGTTTCGTTTTATTCTTTATCTATGTCGATATAATACGGTTTTATGTGATTTTGATAAAGCGATAATGTTTTTATTCCTGAATAAGACATAAATTTGAAAAGAAAATATATATCAATATCAAATTAATTATTTAAAAGTTCTAGTTTTTTGTAATTTCTTTAATTCAGATTTTTTATTATAAATTAATTTAACGTAACGAGATAATTTAATTTAGGTTTAATAATATAATTTTTATAAAAAGATAATCATTAAGTATTTTGCTAGAACTTAATGATTATCCTAATTATATTTAAGATTTTTTATATTTAAAATGAGATGTTTATCTTGTATTTGATTATATTTATCTCCAGTTAGTTATATGAATTCAAATATAGAGCTTTAATAAGTTGTACTTACACACAACTTACTTGTAATCTTGAACTGTAAGTAATATGCATTAATAAACAGTACTTTATGCTTAAAAGATAGTTTTTAAGCGTTTTTGTCAAATGCTTTATAATATAGTATAGATTATATCCTTAAATTTTATCATTTGAAAGTGAAATATAATAGATTTGTTTAATTTGGTTACTGATATCATACAATGTAACGAACCAATGAGTAACCCAAAAAAGTGAAATGCAAAAGTTAATATAAGGTGCACTTAACTTTTTTAAAGCATGTAAAATAATACATTTAAAAGTGTCTGATTTGTTTGAATTTGGACTGCAAATGTCAAAAGTGTCTGGAGATCACAGGTTTAAATCCAATAAGAAATGAAAATCTCCTTATGGCCATGAAAGTTCAAATGCGGTGACTCCGGACTACCAGCAAAGCATGTTGTTATCTTGGGATTAGTCAGATTGCATAGCGAGTTGGATATCCACGCTAATCAAAAAAGGGCAAATTACATGAAAAATAACGTACTTTAACTTGATTCCTATTTTGGACAACGTACTTTCAAAAACTTTCATTTTGGTAGCTAAGATGTAAAATTTTAAACATTTAAGTACCCGAGTAACCGGTTAAAGCATCAACCGATTATCATATTGATGGGGCGAGTGATGAGATGAAATTGTGTTGAATAACAAATAATACTGAGTTGGATACCATATCACTCGACACATCAGCATGATAACCGGTTATCCGGGTACTTAAAAATGTTTAAAACTTTACTTAGTACCAAAATGAAAGTTTTGAAAGTACGTTATCTAAAATATGAATCAAATTAAAATACGTTATTTTTTCATGCAATTTACACATAAAAAAATATTGTTCTTGGGTTATGTGTTGCTTCTTTTTATTCAATTGTTGGTGTTTGTTTGTTTTTTCGTGTACTTTTTCTATTCCTTTTGTTTTCCACGACTATGAGTTGATTATGCTTTTAAATACTGCTTCTCGTTATTTTTAACCTTTTCCCAGCTACATAGTTTTTAATTTTTTATTACTCCATTTTAATATATTTTGTTGCTTTAATGAAACACTTGACAGACTCGTTTATGACATTTTATAGGTCCTGGACGAACATAAAAATAGGATTCCCTACAAGAAACAAGACTTGTAGCAACGACTTTTGTTGTCTAAGTTCATTTATCATTAGAAATATCATATAACAACAATATTGTCATCGTTATAACTTGTGGCGAAAACATGTCATCGCTAAAAACGCATTGTCAAAGCTCACTTTTCTTGTATTGACCCTCTGTAAGTACGGAAAAAATTCAATAAATTGGTTTTCATTAGTATAAAATTGAGTACAAGAAATGCTAATAATTTACTGAAAAAAATATATCGATATTGATTATTTAAAATTTCTTATCTTCTTAATAATTTCTTTAATTTAATATTTTTATTATAATTTAATTTAAGTCTAATAACGAATTAATT